CTGGGGAGTGAACCAGCAGATGGAAGACCTCTCTCTCTGTCTCTACCTCTCTATGTAACTCTTAAATAAAATAAAATAAATCTTTAAATAAAAAAATAGTCACAACAAAACAATACCTTCCATATTCCAGTTCTGCATATAATGTTTTTGAAAATTTTCCCATCAAGAGGAGGGGGTCTATATTTCTTTCACTTGAATCAGGTGGCTTTACCACTGTGGCTGACACTACGTGATTTCCAAGGCTAAGTTAGAAAATACATGGTAGCTCCTGGCTGGTTCTTCCTGGGACACTCACTCCTGAACCTAGCCATGAGGCTAGCAGGCAGCCCCGGCCCAAAGAGAGACCCAGAGTGAAGGTTACAGGTGAACCACCTACCAGACTTTCCTCCCAACACCCAACATCCATTGTCAAACCTGTAATTGAATGCATCTTCAATGACTCCACCCCAACTACTGAGTCACCAGCAGCCTTCAAGCCTTCCCAATGGAGTTCTCAGACAGTGTGACTGATGCTCTGGCCGTGAACCCACTCTGAACTCCTGCACCACAGGAGCTGAGAGCAAACTAAAATAACTTATTTCAAGTCCCTAAGTTTGGAATGTTTTATGATATGACATTGCAGACTCTACTCTCTCCCTTAGAGCCCACAGCAGAGCCACACCTGGAGCCCCTCTGTTCTTATTCCTAACATTGTGCAGCCTAAAAGTTGCACAATACAGATACACAATACAGAAGCCAAGGTACCAAAAGAGTCCATAGTCGAAAGCTATAAACCAAACTAACAATTTCTTAAGTAAAAAGTGAATCTAACAAACTTGAGTAAAACATATTCTGTTTTCCTAAATACCTTTATATAAAATCTCAGACATGACCTCATTTAGGAGTCCTGTACCCTCAGAATTCTGCACTACTATATCCGGGCTCTGGGAGAACTGCCCATTGGCCTATGGTTTGCCCCTCCTCCCCTCCCCGATCCTACACCTCCACCTCCACCCAATGGTGCAGCTGCAAAGGCCACAGACCCGATCCCCTTCACCCTGCAGATATTTCCCCTTGGCCATTCCTCTGTCCTAGGGGCCTACACACCAGTGGGAGGTTCAGCCTCAGGGTGTTGGAGACACCTACCAGCCTACAAAGGTAGAAGCCCACACAACCTCTGGAGGGTTCAGGGCCATTTGGGCAGGAAATTCCCAAGCATGGTCTAAAAGGGGTGTATGACCCTGAAGTGGGTTTCTCCCCTGGCTCCAGAACACAGGTCTCTCTTACTCTGGTCTAAGGGCAGTACTATCCTGGACTTGTCTTGACCTCTCCTCAGAACAGAGGAGATTGTATAAGATGTACCCAACCTGACATCTTCCCACAGAAACAAGAAAAGAAAAAAGGATCTGCAAGGGCTTCTGGGATCTCTTTACTCCTCCACCAGAGGGCCTGTCTGACTCCCACACCAGGCTCAGGAAGGGGACTGGAAGGACAGTGCTATATTTTGTCTCCTGGCTCTCTCCCTGGAACCTTCCTGTTTTCAACTCAGCGTGCACTTCCTGTTGTGTTCACCAATCCTACTTGCTCATCAGTATGACTAGAAGACATATTTTGATCCCCATTTTCTTCTTTGTGCATAATTATCAGTTGAGTAGGACTCAAGGAAGGGGAGAACCTTGGAGACTGATTCCAGTATTAAACAACTCTTGAGAGTTCACATCTTCAGATCCTCCATGCTCACCTCTTTTTAGCTCTGAAAGTCAGAGCTCAGAGCTGACAAGCAAACTAGGTGGCCCAGCCAAGAATCTTTGCATCAGATGAGGAATGGAAGAGAAACAAAATCAATATGTGGACTGATTTTAACTGTCCAAGGTAGACATCTATATATCATATACAAGTGGACTCCAAAAAGTTCATGGAAAATGGAAATAAAAGGTCAGTTTATCTCAGGGTTGGGCATTTGGCCTAACAATTTTTTTTTAACTTTTATTTAATGAATATAAATTTCCAAAGTATGGCTTATGGATTACAATGGCTTATGGATTATAATGTCCCTCCCACCCACAACCCTCCCCTCTCCCACTCCCTCTCCCCTTTCATTCACATCAAGATTCATTTTCGATTCTCTTAATATACAGAAGATCAGTTTAGTATACATTAAGTAAAGATTTCAACAGTTTGCTCCCACACAGAAACATAAAGTGAAAAATAATAGATGATTTTTTAAATGATGATGAAATCAGATCAGACCTATTGTCATGTTTAATCCCAGTGAGAGTCAAGTTGGGAATTGATAATTTCTTTTTTCTTTTTTTTTTTTTTTACAGATAAGTTTAGTATACATTAAGTAAAGATTTCAACAGTTTGCACCCCCATAGAAACACAAAGTGAAATATACTGTTTGAGTACTCATTATAGCATTAAATCTCAATGTACAGCACATTAAGGACAGAGATCCTACATGAGGAGTAAGTGCACAGTGACTCCTGTTGTTGATTTTACAAATTGACACTCCTGTTTATGGCATCAGTAATCTCCCTATGCTCCAGTCATGAGTTTCCAAGGCTATGGAAGCCTTTTGAGTTCTCTGACTCTTATATTGTTTAGACAAGGTCGTAGTCAAAGTGGAGGTTCTCTCCTCTCTTCAGAGAAAGGTACCTCCTTCTTTGATGACCCATTCTTTCCACTGGGATCTCACTCACAGAGATCTTTCATTTAGGGTTTTTTTTTTGTTTGTTTGTTTGTTTGTTTTTGCCAGAGTGTTTTGGCTTTCCATTTGGCCTAACAATTAAAACAACCTCATCCTACTACAGGAGTACCTGGGTTCAAGTCCTGGTTCTGCTCCCAAATCCAGCTTCCTGCTAATGCAGCCACTGGAAGGCAGCTGGTGATGGCTCAAGCAACTGGGATCCTGCCACTCATGGGGAGACTTAGATTGAATTTCTGGCTCCCAGCTTTGATTTGGCTTAGCCCCAGCTATTATTTTTTAAAGATTTATTTATTCATTTGAAAGGCAGAGTTATAGAGAGGTAGAGGGGGAGAGAGGTCTTCCATCCGCTGGCTTACTCTCCAGATGGCCGCAACGGCCGGAGCTGCACTGATCCGAAGCCAGGAGTAAGGAGCTTCCTCTGGGTCTCCCACATGGGTGCAGAGGCCCAAGGACCTGGGCCATCTTCTACTGCTTTCCCAGGCCACAGCAGAGAGCTGGATTGGAAGTGGAGCATCCAGGTCTCGAACTGGCGTCCATATGAGATGCCGACACTGCAGGTGGCGGCTTTACCCGCTGTGCCACAGCCCCAGATATTGTAGGTATTTGGACAGTGAACCACTGGATGGTAGCTCTGCCTGTCTCCTTCCCACCAAACCCCCTTCTAACTTACAAAATAAATGAAAATAAAAAGAGAAGTTTATTTTGGTGCCAAAAAATTTTGAAATCTGTACATGGTTGGTTCTTAATAAAAGCATTTTCTGTGAACTTTTTGGAGGCCTCTTGTATGTGTGAATTTCAAATATTTTGTTCTAAACTTTGAATCCCATTTTCCATGAACATTTTGAAGTACTCCCATGTTTCAGAATATATATTATTTATTATAAAGATGTATATATTCTAAAGGCATGAATATGATGAAATGAGTGGGAATTGGTAAAATGGAGAAGTTATAGAGGAATGCATTTAAATGTATTTTGGGGAGGGGGAAAGACTGGCAATAGAGAACCAGACTCTCCAGCATGTAACCTGATGCCCACCCTGTAAATCCCAGCAGCCCATGAAGTCAGGAGCCACAGGAATCCAGTAGCCCTGGTCTTTGTATTGGTAAGCTCCCGAGAAACTCAACACTTAAGCATGAAACTGGGCTCTGTCACCCTTCCTACCACCACATACATTACCACCAGAGTCTCAAAACAAATTCCAATTAACTAATCAACTTGTATATGCACTCATTTATAGCGAGCAGACATCAGTGAATATGTGCATTGCCCCACATGAGCGACTGAGGCAGAAATTCAGCCCTATTGCCTTATTAAAGTGGTCTGTCAGACTACAGAACTATTTAGGATTAAAAGTTACAACTACAGTAGTGCAAAATTAATGGGATGGTATCAATGGAAGAATTTGTTTCCAATTAGTGAAATTGTGTCTAAAACTTGCGTGCATTTAGATCAATACACTCTGCACACAAATCCATGTCTCTAAGAGATGCTGGGCTATGAGTTTTAAAAGCCACTAGCACTAGTGTTGAGTACATTTGAATAAATACTAATGAATGACCAGCAAATCAGACACTCGCCATTTCACTTGTGCAACACATCAATGAAATAAGCAGCAAGGCCAGCACTGCGGCTTAACAGGTAAAGCTGCTGCCTACAGTGCCGGCATTCCATTTGGGTGCCGGTTCAGGTCCCAGCTGCTACACTTCCAATCCAGCTCTCTGCTATGGCCTAGGAAAGCAGTAGAAGATGGCCCAAGTGCTTGGGTCCCTGCACCCACGTGGAAGACCTGGAAGAAGCTCCTTGCTCCTGGCTTCAGATCGGCTCAGCCCTGGCCATGTGGCCATTTGGGGAACGAACCAGCCAATGGAAGACTCTCTCTCTCTCTCTCTCTCTCTCTCTCTCTGCCTCTGCCTCTCTGTAACTCTGCCCTTCAAATAAATAAATCGATCTTTTTTTTTTTTTTTTTTAACAGGCAGAGTGGAAGTGAGAGAGAGACAGAAAGGTCTTCCTTTTGCCGTTGGTTCACCCTCCAATGGCCGCCGCGGCCGGCGTGCTGTGGCCGGCGCATGGCGCTGATCCGATAGCAGGAGCCAGATGCTTTTCCTGGTCTCCCATGGGGTGCAGGGCCCAAGCACTTGGGCCATCCTCCACTGCACTCCCTGGCCACAGCAGAGAGCTGGTCTGGAAGAGGGGCAACCGGGACAGAATCCGGCGCCCCGACCGGGACTAGAACCCGGTGTGCTGGCGCCGCAAGGTGGAGGATTAGCCTAGTGAGCCGCGGTGTCGGCTGATAAATCAATCTTAAAAAAAAAAAAAAAAAAAAAGAAGCAAGGACTTCTGGAACCATTATGGGTGACTTCTTTTTCCTGCTCCGGGAGATTCCTGGTTCTATGTTGTCATTACGGTTTTTCTAGTCTTTGCTTTTCTCATCTACACTCCAGTTTTTCCATCACCTCTTTCCTTTGGCACCTTCGAGGCCTTTAGAAGGCAACTGCCCCAGGCTCTACACCTTGTTACTCAGACTAGGGTACTCAGCTAAGCAGCTGTGGGATCCCTTACAAGGCGTCAGCGATGCAGTCTCATTCCCCGCCAAGCACCCTGGAAAGCATCCGCATGAGATTTGTGTGAACACTGAAATTTGGGAAGCACCGACCTCCAGTGCAACCTACACCCATAAGCACACAGAACAAGCTTTCTGCTAACTCACTGATCACACTTAATTACGGTGAGCTGATCGCCAATTTATCCTATTACTCACGCCACGTGGTTCCCCTTCCTTCATCTGACTCTCTTATGTTGATTTTCTTCCTCTCTAGCACCTCCTCACAAAGGCTGGGCATGGAAAATTAAGTAGGAGTAATTTCAGGACCATTCTTTTGAGCAAAAAAGCTTAGCAAGGAAGGAGTTACGAAGTAGATTCTTAAAAGGATGGTTGATTATTTGAGCGCAACCCAGATGTCAGCTGCAGTGGCCCTGTCACATGAGATTTAGATTAAATTAGCTCAAGCTGACTCTGCGATGTCTGGCGGAAAGTCTACTGCCCTACTCAAGATTGCTGCAATCCTGGGGTGAGCGTCTCAGGGCAATCGTGTCCCCAAGCTTGTGTTCAACGAGTTCCTGGGCTCGCTCCTCTCTTGGCACCCAGCTTCTCCACTTTGTATCCCTCATGATCTTGGACTTAGAAAGGCTGCTCTGACGTTGATTCCTAACCATACTCTCTCCAGCAATGTTCAGAAATCTTAACCCAAAGTTCTAGGGACTGGGAACAGTTTGTCCTTCAAGCAATGTCATTGCTATTGGATGTTTTTGACCTCAATGTCCTTCATTACTGCTCGGCTCTGCAACTCCTTGGCAGTGAGCTTCTCTGTCATCTACCTCTCCGCTCTCCCCCATCCCCCACAGTCCTGTTCCAGGTCTTACCCAGGACCAACAGCTTTGCTTTGCTTTACAAGCACCTTCTAATTCATGCCCTGAAGGCTTCAAATGATCTTCCTGCACAAAGTTCATTTTCTACAAAGCCCCTAGTTACAGCTGTTTAAATCATAATTTTGTCTTCCTACTCCACAAGGACTATACCAATGACCATTAGGAGGTGGTGCTGAGGCTGAGTTTTGGCCCAGAATTTGGGTGATTGGAGAAAATCATGTGAAGAATTAGGTATGTTAGAATGGGAGTGCAAAGAAAATAGTGGGAAAAATTAGAGAGAGAACTTACTTCTTCTTGCTTTACTAATGCCCAGCTAGCAGTACATCGGCCCCACTCTCCTTCACTCGCTTAACACATTGACTTACCCAAAGTAGATATTTTACATTCCTTTTCTTTATGCTAGCTGTTGTATCTTACCCACCTCAGCTCTTGAAATCTAATACACCACTGTACAGCTGTGTGACTTTGCACACATTCCTTGCCCATTTTGAACTTCAAAATCTGCATCTATAAAATGGAAATGATGCTATTTAAAAGGAAGTGAAATGCAACCGTTGCAAGTCTCTGCACAATGGCCGTTAAGCTCATGGGTATTAAACAACAACATATTCTAAGCAGAGAAGAGCAGCCATGTGGGGCTTGCTAACAGATGGGCATGGGCCCTGCAGTCCCTCACCTAACTCTTGCCTTTATGTAACAGGAGACCAGGAAATTGCTTTGAATAAGAGAGGATGGATGTTTCCCTTCCTGCTCATCCACACACAGAGAGAAAGGAAGTTTCCTTCCTCAAGCCAAGCGAGGCGACTCTGGGGTCCTAGCAGAGAGCAAAGGGAGGGGCTGTGGAAGCAGGAAGCCTGGGCTGTTTGACTCTGACCCAACACAGCCTAAGCCATGAGTCTGGTAAAAGCTTCTTCTGAAGGCCACGCAGGTAAGGAGGGCCAAGCCAGGAACAGCCTGTACTGCCAGCTCTGGGTGGTGCAAAGACACTGAGCTTTCCTGTGGGGCAGGCTTGACTCATCTTGTCCAAGAGGAATCACCAGGCCTGCCTTGCATGGCAGGATGGAGATGACTCCAATAGATAGAAAGTGGCTTGAGCACACCTCTGGGTACAGAAGATGAGAGGCTGTCACACTGTCAGCTCAGGGTGAATCACTGTGCCAAGCAGTGGTGCAGTGAAAGGCCCCACGGAGGAGAACAGTGTCTCTGGAATACCCAAGCAGATGCCTTAGGAGGAAAAGAACCAGCATTTGAGCCACACCTGGAGCCCATCCCAAGCTATACCACCAAAGGCCATGGAAGGCATTGTTCTTATTCTTTTACTCATTCCTCACCTCCCTGAGGCGGGGACCAGACTCAACAGATGTGACAGAGGAGGAGAAAAGAAATTAACTGTGTCATCTTTCCCTCTGCAGGAAATGTAGAACCTTTCCTCCCAGCACAAGATCCCTACTCCAACCATGCTGCATATCCCTGGACATGCAGGAAGACTACTTCCAGCTCCACTTGAGTGAAACTGGTTTCCTGTGCCTAACTTCTGGGATGGAATGGAGGTAGGAGTGATACGGGACACTTCCAGACTTAGCCAGAAAGTCCTCTGTGGGATCCTCCACTCTTTGTCTTCTCTCCACAAGGTGATCACAGAGGCCAGAGGTCAAAGATGGCAGAGCCTGGATCCCTGAGTCACTGCATGGAACACAACTGCCCAACCTTCAGAGGATATGAGTGACAAACTTTCATTGTGCAAAGTATTAAGATTCTAGGGAACTTTGTTTTGCTTTGTTTTACTGCCACAGGATGCTCGGCCTACCCTAGTAATATAGCAGATTTCTGTGCCTAGATCAAGACTGACATGCAGTACTAGAGAAGTAAGAAGCTTCAATTTTGGTGAGATAGTACAGTTTTTATATTGGACTGTAAAATAATGCTTCATACTAGAAGATCCACTGGTTTATTCCCCCAAATACCTGCACCTGCCTGGGCTGGGCCAGGAACTCTATTTGCATCTCCCACATGAATAGCAGGAACTCAAGTACTTGGGCCATCACCTGGGCCTCCTAGGGTGTGCATTACCAGGAAGCTGGAAGCAGGAACACAGCCAGGACACAAACCTACACTCTAACCAATATGGGACGTGGGCGTCCCAAGCAGTGGTTTAACCCACTGTATCACAATACCTGCACTACATGTTCTCTTTTAACAGACGTCTGTATATCTCATTTGGTGGAATGTTTGTTCATGTATTTTGTCCACTTTATGATTGAATTGTCTGCCTATTTAAAAACTGTGAAGTTTTGAGAGTTCTTAATACAAGCCTTTTATCCAGATAAGTGGTTTGCAAGTGTCTTCCCTCATCTATAATTTATCTCTCATCCAATTTATCATTTGTTTTTCTTTCATGAATCAAATTTGGGTGTCAAATGTAAGAACTCTTTACCAAACTGTGGGTCTTAGAGATTTTCCCCTACATTTTCTTCTGAAAGCTTTGTAATTTTATATTGTACATTCATACCATGTTTTCACTGTGAGTTAATTTTTGTATAAGGAGTAAAGTTCAGGTGGGTACATTTTTGGCCTGCAGATGTTCAAATGCCCCAGCCCTATCTGTTGAAAAATGTCTCAGTCTTCCACTAAATTGCTTTTACACCTTTTTTTTTTAATCCATCGGTTGTACTTGTGTGGGCCTATTTCTGGCTTATCTATTGTGCTCCATTGGCCTTTGTGCCTATCCATCTGCCAGCATTTCATGGTCTTGACTGAGGTGTTTTTTTTTTTTTTTTTTTTAATGTGGAAAAATGACAGCAAGGCTGCAGATCTTCCTAACTTACCATCCAGTAAGAACAAAAGTGATCCCATGGGGATTGGACAGCTTGATGGGGACAAATACATCTTCTTCATCTTCTTCTTGCTAAAGTCTCACCACGTCCAGCTTGCTCAGGAGACAACTATCAGCTTCATGGGAGTGTTTTATTTGTTGGTTCTTGTGTGTGTGGATTTCATGTATCACATACATAGAGCATTTAAGTGCATCTAGTATATTGTAGGCCCTCAGTTTTATTGTGGGTCCTGAATATTTGACTTATCATCATTTTCATCATTCATGCTCCTCCTCTGATCCCCTTCTAAGAGTCACATAGAGAGCTGGCACTGTGGTATAGTAGGCTAAGCCCCTACCTGCTGTGCTGGTATCCCATATGGGCAGCAGTGCGTGTCCCAACTGCTCCTCTTCTGATCCAGCTCCCTGTTTATGGCCTGGGAAAGCAGTGGAAGATGGCCCACATGCTTGGGCCCCTGCACCTGCATGGGAGACCCAGAAGAAGCTCCTGTCTCCTAGTTTTGGATCAGCTCAACTCTTGCCATTGTGGCCATCTGGGGAGTGAACCAGCGGATGGAAGACCTTTCTCTCTGTCTCTCCCTCTCGTCTATAACTCTGCTTGTCAAAAAAATAAATATTTTTTAAAAAAATCACACAGAAAGACCAGCATTTCTATAGTTTAAACGCTTCTCTCACCTACACTTAAAAGTTAAAAATTGCCTTAAAGGGGAAAAAAAAGTCTTGTTTGGCACCCATTGTGCTTAGCTGTCCCACCTTGAAGGAAAGGGAAGTTGATCTAAGGACAGGTGATAGATCCCAAGGTAGCAGGTGAGTCGGCATTCACTCCTAATGAATTCACCTGTCTTTGGCCTTTAGCAGAGCAGAAGAGCAGGCTGAGCACCTGGGCCTTGTGCCCAGGGATTGGCCTCCAAGGGTGAGGCTCGGCCTCTTTTAGGGCACCCCTGGAAGCAGAGGGCTGGAAGGGAAGGAGGAGGAAAGAAAGGAAGTCACTCATGTCCCTCAAACCTTCCCCAGAGCCCCCCAACCCCAGCATTGATCTCTGGATCTAAACTGGGACTCTCTGAAGCTTAGCTCCATCCACAAGGGGACCCACTGAGGTCAGGCAGGACTAGGAGCCCACACAAATCAAGGGGTTAACACAGATCTCCAGGGCTGGGCTAGTGACGGATGCAGCAGCTAGGATGGTAAAGGGGGATCATTATTTTTAATTTCGGCAAGTCCGTGTATTAACGGAGGTGTGGGATGAGAGGTGTGGGGGCTGGGGGGTGGTGAGAGAAGGCTCCGTCACTTTCTACACGTCTGCCTCCTGATCTTTGAAATCCGAGTGGAGCGTTCTGGAGTCTGGGAACAGCAAACACTCTTCATCACGCCCTTCAGCGGCTGCTGACTGCAGACAGCTTTTTCCCCCTCAACAATAGAAGAGATGGAAAAGAAAAGGCAAGCTTTTGGCCTCAGGGGTTTTTTTTTTTAACCACAGCTCTTTCCGCTCCAACCTACATCTAAGAGGAAGGGAAACTATCTTTTGTTATCACTCAATCTCCCTTAAATTTAAGAACAGCTGGGGATATTTTTCATGATTCATTAAATTCACATCATTCCAAAGAAATCTTCCTGCCGATTTATCTTTGCCTCAGCAGTTGGGGCTCCAGGAGTGAGCAGCTTCCTGAATGCACTCAGCCTGGGTCCGCTGTTTGGGGCTGCGTCTGTGATCTTTCATGCTGGAATATCTTTTTTTTTTTTTTTTTTATTTGAGGGTGAAAGAGAGCGGGAAAGGAATCGGGGTATTGAAATGAATCTTTCCAGTCCATTTTTCCCCCTTTCTGGAGATAAAGAGAAAGTCGTATGGCTGTCACAGCTAAAGACTAAACCCCAGCTAATGTCCTCAGCAGGGAAGAATAATTAGTAAATTCTCTAATTAGAGTCCTGTTTACATTTCTCTTTTCATAGAGGCTAATCCTTGTGTTTAAAGAAGATATTCTGCCTTGATTAAAACCACTGGTCTTAATCGGAGTCATAGGAGAATCTATGGTGAATGCACGGGTACCCGAGGTCCTTAGGCATTCATTCATGCAGTCACTCATTCACTGTCGGCAGTATGCGTAGCCCTGCGCTGGATTCTAAACAGAACCCTGGCATCATCCCTACTCCCCTGGGCCAGGACAAGAACAAACAGGTTTGGCCTCCACACCAACTGTCATCCATTGGGGGTGGTGTCCCTGAGCAATCTGAGGCTATTCCCTGGTTCAAAAGAAAGGAGGGCTTTGCAGGATGATTGACACCCATCGTGAGGGTAGAGGGATGGGCACACTGAACAGCAGAGACGCCGCCTGGGTCGTTTGTTGAATATCCAGGAGTGTGGAGCCCTACATCCAAGGCATTCAGAAATGTTCATGGAATCCTCACCTGGGGACACGAAGGCAAGGCTGAGCGTGATGAGACCACTGGTGGATGCAGCCCTGGTCTTGCCCTCTCCAGGAGGCTTGAGTCATGTGTTCTCACGCACATACCTACAATAAAAGGGTTGGTGTTACCACAAGTCACTACATGTGCTACCTGGGCAGCAAAACACAAGGATGATAAGCTCTGGTTCTGGAGCTAACTTTCAAGGTTACCTCTTGGCTGTGCCATTCATAGCTAAGTTAGATTATGAGAAAAGGGATGGGCATTTGGCTTGGCAGTGAAAATTCTAGTGAAAATGCCCATGTCCTACATTGGAGCATCTGGGCTCGAGTCCTGGCTCTGCTCCCAATTCCAGCTTCCTACAAATACAGACCCTGGGAGGCAGCAGGCGATGGCTCACGTAGTTGGATCCCTGCCACTCACATGGGAGACCTGGATTGAGTTCCTGGCTACCTACTTCAGCCCAGTCCAGTCTTAGCTGTTGCAGGCATTTGGGGAGTGAACCAGTGGATGGAAGTGCTCGCTGGTGCTTTGTCTCTTTCCCTTTCAAAAAGTTATGTAAATTACTTAACCCCCCAGTACCACGGTTTTCTCCTCTGTAACGTAGGGGAAGAGAATCTATTTACTGGATCGTTAGAAGGATTAAAAGATTTCTGAGTGGTAAGGTACTGAAACTGTGCCTGGTTCCTACTAAGTACACTCGGTGATCCTCAGTGCCACTGTGGCTGTGGCTTTTGTTGCTATGAACCTAGCATGGCCAGACAGGGTAGCTGAACAGTTAGATTTGCCTTCCCTTCTCCTCTCTTGGTCTCTCCTCTCCAATAGGAGTGTGTTCAAAAGGAAAAGAAATAATTTGCATTCTCCATATTTGCATTCATGAGATCACAACATCCTGAGAGATTCATGGGGGCTCCTCTAAAAAAACTTGAGTGTAACCCCATCTGCCTTTTCTGGGACCAAGTATAGCAAGTGTGTCCAAGTATTTCAACCAACTCAGTAGTGGTGATCCATACATGCGAATCCTTGGCACAGTCACTATCCTGAATAAATATAAAGGAAAAAGCTTTAAAAATTCTGGCACATTATTATTCCACTAGCCTCCTCTGTCCTCTCCACATTGTGTGCCCTTTCTACCCAATGTCGACAACTGTTATGTTTGTGGCCTCTCTTCTTCATAGTGGGCACCGTAAGAACATTCAAACACAATTATCAGCCTGACTGGGGAGGCTCTTCACAGGCTCAGCAGAAGAAGCAAAGTGCTGGCCAAGCCAACAGTCAGCACAGGACCTCTGACTGCTGGAAAGGCAGGGTGTGAAGAAGAGTCTGGGCCGGGGAGCTCAGGGGACAGATGGCTGGACCCGAGAGTGGTGTCTGCTGAGGTCTCGGGGGAAGGAAGGAAGGGAAATCCACAGGTAGCCTACAAGAGACCAGGTGAGGAGTCTCTGCTTAGCTACCTGTTCATTCTCCACAGTGTCAGTTATCCATGGCTAAGTGTAACCAAAAATATTAAGGGAGGGTAGGCATTTGGCCCAGCAGTTAAGATGCCTGAATCCCCTATCAAAGTCCATGGGTTTGATTCCTGGCTCCACCTCCGGACTCCAGTTTCTTACCAGCACAGATCCTGTGAGGCAGCAGATGACGGCTCAGGTGGTTGAGTCTCTACCACTCACATGGAAGATCCGGGTTGAGTTTCTGGCTCCCAGCCTCAGCCTGGCCCAAACCCAGTTATCAAAGCCATTTGGGGAGTGAACCAGTAGATGGAAGATCTCTTTGTCTGTCCATCCCTCACTTTCCCTCTCCCTCAAATAATTTTTTATTTGAAACATAGAATAAGAGAGAGAGGGAGGGACAGAGACAGAGAGACAGAGAATGAGAGATCTTCCATCTGCTGACTAACTCTCTCAATGGCTGCAACATACAGGGTTGGGCCAGGACAAAGCTAAAGGCCCAGAACTCCATTCAAGTCTCCCATGTGGGTGGCAGGGACCAAAACATTTAGGCCAGCATCCATTGCCTTCCCAGGGGCATTAGCAGGGAGCTGGATCAGAAGTGGAGCAGCCAAGACTCAAACTGGCATTTCGATACAGTGTGCCAGCGTTACAAGCCACTGCAACACAATATTAACCCCTCAAATATATTTTTCTAAAGAAAAAAAAAACAGAAAATTCCAGAAATACACACTTCATGAGTTTAAATTGTGCACCATTCTGAGAAGTGTGATAAAATCCTGTGATGGCCTACTTAGTCCCAACCAAGGCATGAATCACCCCTTTGTCCAGCATAGCTACACTGGATGTGTTACCCATCGCTTAGTAGCTGTCTCAATTATCAGATCACCTATTGCAGTGATGCGGTGCTTGTGTCCAGGTAACACTTCCATAGTTGGCCAATGCTGCATCACAGTGCCTACATCATTCTCTTAGTAGCTGTCTCAATTATCAGATCACCTATTGCAGTGATGCAGTGCTTGTGTCCAGGTAACACTTCCATAGTTGGCCAATGCTGCATCACAGTGCCTACATCATTCTCTTCATTTCACCTCATCACATAGGCACTATATCATCTCACATCATCATGAGAAGTATGGAACAACAAGATATTTTGAGAGAGAGAGAGAGATCATATTTATATAACTGTTATTACCATTCACTGTTATAATGTTCTATTTTATTATTGTCATCGTTGATCTCTTACTATGCCTAATATACAAGTTAAACTTTATCACAGGTATGTGCATACAGGAAAAAATGGAGTGTATAAAGGGTTCCATGCTATCTGAGGTTTCAGTCATCATCTGGGGGTCTTGGAACTTAGCCCTTATAGAAAAGGGCGACCACTGTCCTCTCAAATATTTTGTCTCATTCAGTCCCCAACCAACTGTCTGGGTTGACAGTAACTTAGTATTTTTATAGATGCAGACATGGAGACCACGAACCTTTGGGTCAAAGATTCCTAAGCCTTGAACCCAGTTATGGCAGACCCCAAAACCACTTTCCACTTGATCATGCAAATCCTGTGACATCTGAGGGGCGAGGACATCAGATGCAGGTCTCCAAGATAAAAAGATAATAGGAAAAGCTCTAGGGGGGAAGACCCCATGTGGTCAAGGGTGAATTTCTCAGGGAGCTTTGAAAGGGAAATGACAGCAGAACACAGAGAGGGGTGAGATTATAGAGAGAATTTTAGGGTTGTGTGTGTGTGTGTGTGTATTTTTACTGAATCTTGTGAATGATTACAGGGACTTGAGTTTTTCCTTTAATTTCACCACAAGCTTACCATTTGGAGTCATCTGGTTTCTTGGTTTAGGAATATTAACCTATGATATACAGGTAAGACTCTATGATGAAGGCAAACCACAGATAAACCGAGAACTTCATTTCTAGCCCTGAGATTCCCTAGTCTGCTCCCACTTAACTCTGCCCCAAGTTTCCAATTTAGAAATTAGGAAGGCACTGTATTGGGCTTCTTTGTGTCTTTTAGGCTACAAAAAACAGGCACGTGGAAGAACAGGGATAGGCACGTCTGTGTGCTGACAAAAGGAGCCCCCAGTCACTGAATACAACTGAGTGCTGCAGCCAAAACTGTCTTGCTAACATGCAAAGTTCTTTGTGTCACCTGCCTGCTTAAAATTCTTCAACATTTTCCCACTTTTCTAAAATTCAACTCTCTTGACTGTGTGATACAGTGATTTAGGTCTCAGACCTTGTGAACAGATACACGTGCATCTGATGTGTCTAATTCTACAGTTCACTAACGGTATGACCTTAGGCAAATTACTCAATCAGGTCTTGGTTCTCTCCTCTGTAAAATGGGTTAACTATTGGAGCTACCCATAAGGCTGCTGGGAGATGACACAATGCCTATTTTATGACTTAGGAGCAGCATTGTTGACTTGACGCCCACTGTGCACCCTTCCGAAGTAATTTCTTGACACTGCAGCCCTTCCCTGGCATTTTCCAGTTCATTTCCTCTAAGGCATAGTTTCCTCTCTGTGCCCCTGTGCCTTTGCATGTGCCATTCATGCTATCTAGGACACTCCAGTTCCTCCTGTTGGCACGGTGAATTACGGTTCAGCTTTCAACTTCAGCATGGACATCCTGCCTTCCCCGACCTGCAAGATGAGGCAGGTGCCTCCTACCTGCTCCCCTGTCACCTTGTGCATTCTGTGCCACTGCACTTTGTCAATGACTTTCCCTGCAGGAGTATGTGGCTCCATGCAGGACTACAATGATACCCCCAGTGAACAACCTATGCTTGGCGTCTGAGATCAGTTAAATGTGCTTGAATGTTTACAAATGAGTGGTAGCTCAGGACGTCACTGTGGAGCACACACGCCACCCACCGAAGTGTCCTCTTAAGAGCCCAAGGACATAATGGGCATTTGTCAGGCTGCTCACCCCTGGCTAGCCACAGCCCCAGGAATGTGAGCCCTTCCGTGGGTCCCACAACTCCTTACCTCCTCCTACAGAGTCCACTCGGTCCCCAGCAGAGACCCCAGTAGGGAGCAACATATAATTTCTCTCTGGAGGCCTGCTCAGGACAAATGAGACCTTTGTTTTAAAAAAAAATCATTGTAGAGAATTTCAAGGTGCTGACAGCAGAGCATTAACTGAAGTGTGGGAGCCTTGTACGTGTGGCCCTCTGCGCTCCTCTCCAGCTCCCACACCCGCCAAAGTGGCCCTGGTCACGCCCTTCTGTACAACCCTGTACCCAGCAGGCTCTGACACACTCCCTCTCACCAGGACACTGGGGACAGAACACATTGTCGCTCAGACATCAAGGGATTTTTAAAGGTAATCAACTGGGGTGACAAGCTTAATACTAAGAAATGAATCACTAACGGTGAAACTTCTGGCCTCTCCAACAAAGATCACTTTGGTTGCAGCTTAAAGTGTAGGCAGAAACCTTAAGTTCCATTATTTTGCAAACACCTCATTATATATTGTTTTATTTTATAGATGAATATATATGTAGTATATACACACAGATTTCCTGATTTGAGAAGATGTGTTTCTAAGCTCACTTTACCCACCAATAAAATGGAAGCTACAATATTAATTTGAGTGATTCCAATATGAAACTACTTCCAAAAGTTCATGGGGAAAAA